TTAGTCATCCTTCCTCTTTGGTTTCTAATTTTGTGGTGGTAGAAAATTTAGGATCTGAAAGAAGGATGAATTTATGTTGAATAAATATGGTTTATGAGGTTGTTAGTAGTATAATAAATGTTCTAAAGTATAAATTTGTTGATGATCTTTGAATTTGTGGCTTATGGATCAAATTCTGAACTAGATCTAAAAATATATGTTGATTTATTGAGGTTTAGATGATTATTTGGAATGAAAAATGAATTATTATGGCTATAGGATTATGATTCTAAGCTAGAGACTCAATTTTTAATTTTTAGGTATTTTAGGTGCGAATTTATGAAATAAAAAGAAAATTTTGATAATAGAAATTAGTTTAAAATTTAATTTTTAGATTATTAATGTTTATTGATAATTAAAAGAGGAGTTAAAAAATTTTACTTAATAGTATTAACTCTAGATTTGTATTAAGATTGAGATTAGGAATTATGTTATATTTTTAATTCTATTATTAGAATTATTTTATTAGTTTCAAAAATTAAAACTAATATTTATAAATAATATGTTATTTGTAGATTATATTACTGGTGAAGATTGTGGTGAGAGAGAAATTTTAAGGAATAATTTATTGAAAAAGCCACAAGGTAACTATGCTTTTAATTTGTGATTAGTGTTATTGCATGTTAATTGGGTGATTATTGAGAAAATTATGAATTTTGTAATATTGTATAATTGTGCAATATTATTATGAATTTGTTTGATTATTGTGGGAGGTGTTGGGAGACTTGCTATTGTTGTTGTATTTATGTGCCACGTGGTACGCCTCTATTGGAGCTTAATAGGTGGCTTGTAAGGATTCAGGCTAATCTACCTTTGGCCGGGTAATTTAGCACCGAGTGAGGGCTACGGCTCGAGGTTAATGGAGGGATATAAGGATGGTTGTTTGTGTGTATTGTAATATTTCTTATATTTTGTTGGAATTATATTATTTTTGGTTCCCATTTAGTAAGCACACACTTAACTGTTTGTACACACTATCATAAATTGGCTTTGGTTACTGGAACTTTTGAGTCTCATTATGTGGTTAACAATTTTCAAGAGAAGAGCCACGAGTGACACGTGGAGGAGTCCCAGAGGCTTAGTGGCATAGATCCACTGTCTCTTTTGGGTATTTGATTTATGATTTATAATGTGTTATATTGCCAATATTAGGGCTTTTTATTTATTGACAATTATATGAATATATAAATGTAATCATGCCTTTCGAACTATTTCTATTTTTGGTATACTTTGGATGACTATAATTTTAATATTTGGTTTACTTTGGATTGGTTAAAATGGCATGATTATGAGGCCAAATAACTGGCTTGTGTTGAAAATTGACTAAATTGTTTATTTTTCTTGTTGGGAGTATAAGGATGGACAAATGTGATTTAGTTTACTTGTTGGGAGTATAAGAATGGACAAATGTGATTTAGCCTAATGGCATGTAGGAGGTAAAAATTTATCTGAAATGTTATATTGTGTGAGTTGAAGCCAATTATAAAATATTTTATATTGAAATTATTGATATAAAAAAATTTTTGGTGTGTTACAATTAATCTCTAAAAATATCCCTATAAATATCTATATATTTGTTGTAGATATTTTTATAAAATGTTTTGGACAATGAATGTATGCCATAGGATTACATTGATCTCCACCGTTCATTAAGGAGGTGGGAAAACTCTAAATCAAGAGAGAAGTCTATAAATACCCCTACACTCCTCATTTGTAAAGAACAAGCAAAGTTATAAACTTTCAAGTTCTTTCATCCAAGCTCTCTTCTCTCTTATATTCGAGTTTTTTAGTTTTTTTGCCTATATTTTGAGGGTTTGACTGACTTAGCAAAGATTAAGAGGTTGATTACACTAAAGTCGACACGGTTTAAGGAAAAGAGAATTTCAAGGTCATGACAATAGGCACCTTACAGTGAAAAATGCGGTAATATTCCCTTTAAAGAATGTGTTTAAGAAGCAATATGGCCCTTTCATTACATATCTATTAATTTGACCATTAGTTGATCTTAAAAATTATAGAGGAGAACCTAGGAAATTATATAAACAATATCTAAAAAATCACAAAAAATGATCTTTATAAGAAAATGAATACTAATTAAATCACTTAAATTATAAATAAATTCCAATAAACTAATGTTATTTTTTATCCATATAAAAGATTAAAATATTTTTTTAACCAGCTACTATGTAATTATCATATCACCTTTGCTAGCATCAACATGGATCATTTATCATACTATTTTAATTTACAAATCACCTATAAATTTTAAAAAAAACTAGTTAAGCTATTAATATTTCACAGTTGATTTCTAAATTTCAGATGAATATTTATAAATAATATTAAATTATTAAATATTTAAATATTTTAACTAGATTTTATTAAAACAAATATAATATTTTTTAATTACTTACATATATTTCTAGCATTGGTGATTTGATAATCACCCAATAGTTGATTAAAGTGGTTGGTTAAAATAATATTTTTATAATTTAGATGGGTAAGAAATAACATTAGTTTAATGAAATAAATTTGTAATTTAAGGAACTTAATTAATATTAATTTTTTTATAATGTTCTTTCATGTAATTTCTTGAATCTTTTTCTATAATTTTTTAGGTCACTGTCTATAATTTTTTGGGTCAACTAATAGTCAAATCAATGTATATTTAATGGAGGGGTAATATTGCTCTGTACAAAAAAAAAATTTAGGGGGGATATTGACTAGCCTTAAGTATAGGGTACCTAATACTCATTAAAAAAAAAGGTAAATTAAGTCTTTAACCATAAATAATATATGTTTTAAACTCATGCATCTAGATGAAGTAGCCATATTGTTTTGATTTTATGCTTAGATGACATATGGTCTTAAACTATTAATAGATTATATGCATTAGAAGAATAACCCCTATATCATTTTCTTCATTGCTGTAATGGTAAGTAGGGCTCACACTATTAGAGATAGAATTGATCACATTTTAGATCCCATTTGGTTACTAAAAAAAATAAAATGGTATGAATTAAAAAAATTAATACAAAAATGAACTAAATCACTATTATCTTTCATAGTAAGCATAATAAAACTCATTAATTATACTACAAATGTAAAAATCATCACATATTTTAAAAATCTTATGACTTATGATTCTCAATTTCATAAATTAAATTACTTCTCTCTCTTATAAATGTGGTTTATCTATTCTTTTTTACCACCTTATTTTTTAATTCATTTCATTTTTTTTAGTAATCAAACAGGGCCTCAGGGAATGTGGCATTGCTGAAGGATTTCCCTAAAACACATGCATGTCTTCAACATTGATCCAATGGGCTCTGATCACACTATCTTTTGCCGGTAGATTTGAGTTTTAATTTGAATAGATTTAGATAACCCCACCTGAATTTAGGGAGGTAGGAAGTGTAATGGCTGGACTCCTCAATATTCTATGCTAAATGTCCTATTGGTGATTTTCTATAAGAAACTTTTCACTGCTACGAGAGTGCCTCTTGAGAGGTTCCTTGCATTTTGAACTGGGAATGAGGCAAGAACAATTTAATTTTAATGCAACAATTAATGCAGAATGTAAGATTATAACACGTAACGCCATTTATAATGTATAAATAATAATAATTTCATGCCAGAAAAAGAGTGTATGAAAGCTAAGCGTATGATTTTTTTTTAAAAAAATTAATACTCTTAATAACCAAGTACCAACAATAGCCACTAACAGTTTTCTGGATCCATGCATGGCTATTTACATTTCCATATTTTCTCAAAATCTCAGCAAGATGCATCTAGAAATTCTCGGCAAACAATTTAAGGCAGCTTTTAGATTGATGTATTTAGATTTGGGTTTTAGAATTAAAATCTTACATTAAAATTCATAAAATTAAAATAATTTGTTTGAGTAGTGTACAAAATTAAAAAGAGAAAAAAGAAAAATTATTTGAAAACAGAAGATTAAGAATGATGAGTGTATCTCTATTTTTCATTTAGCAAAAGATGAAAACGAAAGATAAGAGAAGATGTAAAAATGACAAACACTGCAAATGAAAATACAAAAAGAAAAAAGTTGAAATGACTAAAATTTCAAATTATAAAAAGAATTTGAAATTATAAACTTCAAATTACCAAGTTATAGAAGGAATTTTTTTCTATCCCAATAGAAGATTTGACTCAAATTCAAATTATCAACAAACCAAATACAACATAAAATAATTCTCCTACATCACATGAAAGAGAATAGAAGAAAATTAATAAGAAGCTAATTGGGTGGCTAGCTATCTTGCATTGAGTTCTTCAAGAATTTTCTGCTAAGAGGTCTACTATCTCCCAATAAAGGCCAGAAAAGATTTTCCAAAGTGAAAGGAAAAGTTACAATTACAATGCTTCCACAAGCTGCTAGCTTGATTAATGTTATTATTTTCATTATTATACTTAAGCTTGCACTATTGTGATATATAATACTCTAATTATCAAGTAAAATAATAAATAGATTGACAAGAGAGAATCATTAGCCACACCAGTAATACACAAACTTCCTGAACCATATTGCCCAACAAAAACACACAGACACACACATCTTCTTAGGCTACACATTCCCGATAAGCCCATTAAATAAGCATCAGGCCCATTAGTCCCTTTCTCAAGTTTTCATTAATACTAGGCCGATTCAGAACATCACCTCCTCCATCAAAACGAACCTTGTCGGCAAGGTCTAAGGTAGGATGATCAGGTTGAAAACAGCCGAGTCCTTTTCTTCCATGTAGGTTGAAGCATGCCAATCCAGCAATGTAAGACCAAGAGCAATGAGATTGGGATCTGTGAGCATGAGTTATGAGCCTCATCGAGGATTTAAAAAATTACAATAGCAGCCATTATTAAAATTTCCAGAACCTATACTGCTCAACGGTCACAGAGCTCAATCAATACGATAGTAAGCACAGAAAACTGACATACAAACAGTATTGTTGGGAAATAAATAATTCAACACTAATCTTCAGAAAGAAGAAGAAGAATCAAGTCACAGAGGAAAATAGGAGACATCAGAGAGGAGGAAAGAACATAGGGAAAGGATTCCACCAAATCCATTCACACCCACGCCACGAACCCTTTCTTCATTCATATTATCACAACACAAACACATATAATTATATATGCTCACCTCTTCCTTGGCCACCTATTTCATAAGTCTATTTAATAAGCATCTGGCCAATCAGTAACCCTTTTCATGGTCCAAGTCTAGAATATTACTTGGAGTTTGAGATCATTACATTACATACGATAATACGAAAATCTGCAAACACGGTTGCCTAATGAAAAACTCATCCTCCTCCTATTCCACGAATGTAGACTTTGACGTTGCTTAGCTCTCCTCCTACAATACATGAAAAGAAAATAACAACAACAATCATCATCATCATCATCATAATAAGCACAAGGAGGGTCTGAAACTCGAATTTGCAATTAGAGGGAAGTAGATACCCGCATTGTCCTTGTTTTTAGGTTATGTAGCTTTGGTTTATCAGTAGTCTTGAAGTTCCTCGTGAACTTTTTGGTTGATTCATAAGAAGGAGAAGCTATAGCTTTCCGTTTCAATAAAGTTCTTGGAGCATTAATGGAAAGCAGAGAAGACTTGAACTGGACATTCTCCACGTTTGTTTGCTGTTTGTACACATAAATTCCACAGTTAACAATGGACAAATTTGGAGATCCACATTTGAATTCTATTTCCACATCATTCCAGTCTCGTTCCATAAAGCCATCATGGATCTTGCACCCCTTTTCCCCAAAATGCTGACTTAGATCAAACAATGCCACATGACCTTCTCTAACTGGTTGCTGCACCAAGTTATTCTTTGCCTCTCTTCCCCCTTCTACTTTACGACCATTGATGCTAATACAACCAGAGATGTACTTCCAAGGTTTAACATTGATTTCTAGTTCCCCCTTAGATTTTGATGGGACACTTGCATTCACATTGCGCAACTCAATTGCTATGGCAACACGAGGGAAGTTCCCACGAGCACGAAAAGACAAGGTCCCTCCTTTGTAGCAATGATCAAACCAATCTGGAAATGCTGATGCGGGCATATTGATTAACAGGCCATTGACCTCCTTCCTAACCTGATGTACCAAAACACCAGAGACCAGTGGTGTTTTTAAGACTTGAAAACAATCAATAAAATAAAAGAGAGAAAACCTTCTTTTCCAGATAAATGATTTGTGGAACACTAAATTAAAAGTCCACCAATAAAGGTTTTCTTTTTCAGAAGAAAACATGCCTTGAACACAAACCAACAACAACAACAATAAGCCTTGGACATGAAAATATAAACTCTGAAAATATGAGAAAAAAGGCTTCTATGAGGGGAAAACAGTTAACTGTCAATAAAGGAAACAAAATTGTACCTACAGCCACAATGACACTACCCAATAGCTTTCCACGGTTGTGTTTGATTTGATTAACTTCGAAATGGAACAACAAGAAACAAAAGAGAGAGAGAGAAAAACCTGAGACCATAATCGGCATGAAGATTCTGTAGTTAATGATGTACAATGGTCAGCCTCTATGATCATCAACTTAGATGAAAACTCAGGTACATATCTTAGCTGCTTGCAATTAGTCACCTCCAGTTTCAATAGATTAGCACACTCTTTAATGCACTCAGGAAGGGCCACAATATCATTCCCTGATAGAATTAATTCTTGCAAATTTTGAAAACGATTCAGAGTTAGGTGAAGATCTTCGTCTGATAGACAACAATTTTCGAGATTCAAGATCTCTAAGTTTGTACATCTCATAATTGGGTAGCTCTCTTGCATTAATATCTTGAGTGATCTTTTGCAACGAGGTCTACTGTCTCCTAACAGAAGCCAGCTAAGGCTTTGCAATTTGAATAAGCTGATCGGAAGCTCCCTAAGACTTTTACAGGAGTTCATATCTAAAAGCTGAAGACCTGAAAGATTTCCAATGGAATCTGGCAGTTCATTGATGGCAGTGTTTTCTGCAAGAATGGTCCTTAACGCACCCATCTTTCCCACTATATTAGGGAAGTAGTCAAGACTCTTGCAATTACTGAGGTCAAGGGATTTGAGAGATGCCATCTTGATTTCATGAGGAAAGCTATTAAGTTTGGTGCAGCCACTAACATCTAACTGAACCAGCTTAGAGAGAGAACCCACAGAATGATGAACCTTGATCAAATTGCAACAGTCTCTAAATATCAATTCTCTTAAATTTGGGACTTGTGACATATCAGGTACTTCAGTTATAAACTCACACTGTGAGAAATACATGTTTGTCACATATTCAAACCTCTGAAAACAAAATTTAGATAATTTAGTAAGCATTAACCATCAAGTAATATGATTGGTAGTGGTAAATGATAGGTGAATGAGAATAGAAAAATCACCATGAACGGCTCTCCGAGTCTGACATGACTACGACATAACCTCAAAACAACAATTTTCAGAGGATAAAAATCCCGTGGTAAAGTCATAGAAGGGTATCCCTCCCAATCGAGCACTCTTAAGTTGTTTGGTAAGTGTTTAGGACCAGTTGTAAAGCGTGCATTTCGAACAATGAGAATCCTAAGATTCTCCATCTTCTCAAAGGCATGGCCAGTCCACTCCACTTCTTCTTGTTGAGGGGGCCAAAGCATTATTCCTTCAATTTTGCTGCTTCCCTTTAATGTAAGAGCATTGTAGTAACAGTTAGATATTACCAAATAACCCAACTATATACAATGTATTTAATATAACTGTCAAAACAAAAATGATAAGGTTCTTACTGAATTTTCAGATAGTACTCTAATAACATCTTCATGATACCATAATCTGCTACGTTGGCTAGGATTTAAGGGTGCTTCCTGCCTAACAATCTCTCTACCCATCTCTTGCATTAGATCATGCATCCACAAGGAGCCACTGTCGTTAATAGTTACAAGAGATTTATCAACAAGAACTTCAATATAGAACCTTGCACCAAAATCACATGCGTCTAGTATTTCTTCAACATATTCCAATCTCCTTTTCTTAAAGAAACAAGCAATATCCAGGAAAATACATTTGGCATTGTCCTGCAAGCAATCATAGCTTATCTTTAGCACCTCATGAATTGTCCTTTCTGGGATCCTCTCATATTGTTCCATCGTCGATCTCCATTCATCTAAGCTTTTAGAAGCCAAATTGGAGCCTATTACCCTCAAAGCCAAAGGGAGGCCTTGTGCATAATCGATCACATGAATAGACATATCTTCATAGGCTTTAGGAGGCTGCCTCATGTGAAAAGCATGCCAACAAAACAGCTCAAGAGAGTCATGGTCATTTAAATTCTTCATTTCATATGTTTCAACACGATGTGCAGTTAGCAATTGTATATTTCTTGTTGTTATAATGATCTTGCTACCAGGACCAAACCAATGACAGCTTCCTGCTAGCAGTTCTAATTGTTCTACCTCATCAACATCATCAAGAACCAAAAGAATTCTTTTGCAAGAGAGTCTGTGTATTATTTTAGATATTCCTTCATCAACACTGCCCAACTTCATCCTCTTCTCCTCAAGAATCTCAGAAAGAAGTGTCTGTTGGAGACGAATTATGCCTCGATATTGCTTTGAAGCTTCTCTGACATCGAATAGAAAGCTTGCACCATCAAACTGGTAGAAGATTGAATTATACAGAGCCTTGGCAAGGGTTGTTTTGCCAATTCCACCAGTTCCATAGATCCCCAACATACAAACACTATCATCAGATTGATCCAGCAATGGCTTCACTTCTTCTATGCAGGACTGAAGTCCAACCATGCAATCAATGCTATGTAAGCGTTTAGGAGGTAGCATAGCATATGCATCTTCAGCAATTCTTTCAATGAACCCAGGTTGGTTTCTACAAAATTGCAAATTCGTTTTTCGAAGATGATTCATGCAAAATACCATTTGTTTCTCGATCATTTTGTCGTCGGGTAAAATCCCATCTTGAACCTTTCAAGTGCTAAAGTGGTAACAAAATAAATAATAAGCCACCGGGGGAGCTAATTGATAAAGGGGACCAAGATGGGATTTTGCCCTTTTTTTCTCAAATTATATTAAAAGCAGCTATTAATAACACTAAATACTCTGTTGAATAGATCTCCATGTACACTATTTCTAATTAACGGAGAAATCCATATTTGTATTGTAAGACTGATAGTCTACGTTCAAAATTTCACGAATCTTCAATTGCAAGAAATATCACATCAGCAAGCACTAATCAAGTATTCGAAAATTTCATCAGCAAGAAACAACAACATGAAAATAGCGCTTGTAAACCTACCCATCATCAAAAAGCCACGCCATGGACAAACTAGCAGCTTCAGACAAAGCAGACCTCCATCTGTGCACTTTCTCCATGTCGTTTCTGAACCTATCTTCTAGAGCAATCATGGCTTCTCCAAAGCTATTTCTCTGATACCGTACATCCATCGGATCGACCTTATAAAAGATGGGCATAACCACCTGGTTCTTCTCTTTCATACAACGAACGATGTGGGCGAGTTCCTCCAGGCACCACGTGGAAGTAGCGTAGTTTCTAGAGAACACAATAATCGAAATCCTCGATTTATCTATGGCTCTAAGAAGCGCGGGTGAGATCCGTTCCCCTTTCCCGAGCTTCTTGTCATCAATGAAGGCATTGATTCCCTTCCTGCGAAGAGCATCATAGAGAATGACAGTGAAGGAGTGGCGAGTATCTTCGCCTCTGAAACTCAGGAAAACATCGAATCTATACTTAGTTCGGTTGGTGAAGCCAGAGGACAGTGGTGCAGGGACATGAATTGCCATGGCTGCTATCTAAAAGCTGCTAGATAGAGCAATGGAATTTAATCGCGTAACTTGGAGAAATGTGGTTCATCAGAATTGATAGCGACTGAGCATAATTGCAGTCAGGTGGCTATTTGGATTCTGCTAAGGTGCCAACATCTCTGTTGAAAGCTTTTGAAAAGCTGCAGAAGATGCCGTGCTTTTTCTTGTGACTTCCAAAGAAGTTCATGCGACGCGTTTGCGACGGGGGCTGACTGAAGTTTATTAAATAATACTATATAAATAGTAATGATAAAAGAGATTTTTTTTTTCTATCACATCTATTTATCAATTAATTGTAATTAATAAAAATTAATTATTAGTTATGATTGAAAATTTATTATTTTATTTAGTTCAGCTGATGAATAACGAATAATGGGTGTCTCTTTGTAAAATTAATATCGTTTTATAAAAAAATTAAAATGTCAAACAAATTCCTAAAGACTATACAATAATTATCATATCTTACAATTTATCCTGTCCGTTTAAAAATGTAAGATATTTTTTAGAAAATTAGATGTTAAAAAATATAAGGTATTTTTTGAGGAGTTGAATGCTAAAAAATGTATGGCATTTTTAAACTTTTGAGGTATAATCATTGTCTTTTTTTAAAAGTGTCCTTATTGATAATGACTTTATATTTATTATAACGTATTTAATATGGGTAAATATAAAAAGATAAGGTTAGCTTGAAAGTAGATAACTATTTTATTCGAGAAAAGATTCAGTCAAAAATATTTTATATTTTTTAATGTAATGAGTGTATGTTATTTACATACTTTAAAATTAAACCACCAGATATTTGATTGGCTAGGAGTAATGAAAAAAGAAAAAACCATCTTTTACAGTATATTTTACCAAATCATTTCCTTTTCAAATTAATCTATTTTCAACATTGAAGAAAGAACTTTGAATTTTTGACCACCCAATCTTGTTATGAGAGATTGGATGGTCACCTTTGATTATGTTCATAGAAAAACAAATAGATGTACTGATCTCTTAACTCATTAGCTTTTGCATGATACCTTTTATATTTTGATTTTTTTATGAACCACTGCATGAATGTAAAAACATCATAATTTTAAATATGACTAGATCTTAGTCTCTTTACATGATTTTATTGTGGTCTTGTAATTCAAAAAAAAAAAAGAAAAAATTTAGGTTTTTCAATCTCATAATTATCATTGATAGGTTAAGAATTGTTTGTTGTCATGTAATTAAATTTTTTTGTTCATTTATTGAAATAAGAGTTGCAAATTTTAATATTTATTTTGAATTTTCAAATATTTTAGTCCTTATTTTAGATCAATTCAATCTTTTGGTTCTTTTATGTTATTCCCTAAAGCTAAATGCTTTTTTTCTTTGAGAAAAAAAAAAGCTAATACTAAATAACCAACAAGAGTGTTGGCACAAAAAAAAAAACAATAATAATAACCAACAAGTGCTACTATTTTTAATATTCACATTCCTATATTTTCTTTAAAGGTGTGAATTTGTTAGTTCCCACTTTTTAAAAGCCCTTTTTAACTTTTCAAATGCCAAATATTGTTTGGATAATTATAATATGTGTAAATTGACATTATAAAAGGATTTTGGTAATTGAATTGGAAGTGGATTTAAGAATGTATAATTTAAAAGCTTTTCAAAAAATTTTTTCAACTTATTTATAGGGCTTCGATCTTATTTATAAGATAGAAAGTATTTATTTTAGTTTTATTTATAAGACATTTCAATAATTATTATATCCATCTTTACTCTTTTATCTTATTAAATGTTGGGAAAGTTATTAAATATTAGAATATTTTATTTTTTAAATATGTATATTTAATAAGCGTAAAGTTAAAAACTTGTTAAATACATTTTATTTTATCACAATTTTATAAACATTCCTAATATATTAAATTTATAAAACAAAAATTAGAAATTATCATAAATTAATTTTTTTTATAATTGTACATCCAAAAACACATTTTATTATTATAATCAAAGTAATTTTTAATATATTAAATTGATTTTTGAAAAAATATATCTAAATACAAATTTCATCACAACAACTGACTTTTATCAAATGAACTTTTGGCAAATTGAAAACCAAACATGCACTAAAACTCTATAAGATGCATATTGAATTTTTTGGTAAATTATTTAAAATTTACATCACATGAAAGAGGGGGAAAAAATTAATAAGAAACTAAAACGTTGCTGGCAACTTCTTGGTTCTTTCATTAGGAGGGGAAGCTATAGCTCTTCGTTTCAACGAAGTTGTTGGGTCATTCATGGAAAGCAAAGACTTGAAATTCACATTTTCCACGTTCGTTTGCTGCTTGTACACATAAACTCCACACTTAACTATGCACAAATCTGGCGACTGACATTTGGCTTCTATTTCCACATCATTCCAATCCAATTCCTGAAACTTATCAAGTCTCTTCCAGTACTCTTCGTCCCCACCAAAAGCTCTTCTCAGATCAAACACACACACATGACCTTCCCTAACTGGAAAAACTATATTATCTCCTTCCTTTGATACTTCATGACCATTGATGCTCATTCGCCCAAGGACCCTCCCATGCAAAACATGCATTTCAAGTTCATCTTCAGGCCTTGATCTTGCTTTCTCACACTCAAATGCCAATGCAACCACTGGGAAATTCCCATGAGCACGAAAAGACAAGGTCCCTCCTTTGCAGCAATAGTTGAGCCAATCTGGAAATGTCGATGCTGGCATATCGATTGACAAGTTAAAGACCTCTTTCTTAGCCTGGTGTTACAACAAAATACTTAATTTGATTAACTCTCAAAGGGAAAAATGAAAAGGTGAAATGAGATGGAGAATGAACAACCTGAGACCATAAATGGCTTAAGGACTCTGTTGTTAATGATATGCAATTTTCTGCCTGTATTTCCTCCAGGTTCGTTGGTAGCTCTGGTATGTCTCTTAGCTTCCTGCAATTTGTCACTTCCAGTCTATTTAGATTAGGACACTCTTTAATGCATTCAGGAAGGGATACAATATCATTCCCTGACAGATTTAATTCTTGCAAGTTTCGAAAACAATTCAGAGTTAGGTGAAGATCTTCATCCAGTAGACCACAATTTTCAAGATTCAAGATCTCCAAATTTGTGCTTCTAATAATTGGGTGGCTATCTTGCATTGACTTCTTCAAGGATTTTCTGCTCTGAGGTCTACTATCTCCCAACATAAGCCAGATAAGATTTTCCAATGTGAATATTCTGTCTGGAAACTCCCTAAGGCTTTTGCAAGAGTTCATGGATAAAACTTGAAGCCCCGAAAGATTTCCAATGGAATTTGGGAGTTCTTCAATGGCAGTATTATCTGCAAAAATGGTCCTCAATGCATCCATCTTTCCCACTATATTTGGGAAGTATTCAAGACTCTCACAAAAAGTAAGGTCAAGGTGTTCAAGAGACATCGTCTTGATTTCATGCGGAAATCTTTTAAGTTTGGTGCAGCCATTAACCTTTAGTATAGCCAACTTTGAGAGAAAACCAACTGAATCATGAACTTTGATCAAGTTGCAACAGTCTGCAAATATCAGTTCTTTTAGATTTGGGACTTGAGACATGTCAGGTACTTCGGTTATAAATTCACAATATGAGAAATTCATATTTGTCACATGTTCAAACCTCTACAAAACAAAAGCCAGATAATTTGATTAGCTTTACCATCAAGTGATATGATATTTGGAGGAAAACGATATATCTAGGGAAAAAGAAAAATACCTTGATTGGCTCTACCAATCTAACATGACTATGACTTAACCTAAGGACCACAATGTTCTCAGGAGAAAAGTCATCTGGTAAGGTCATAGAAGGATATCCCTCCCATTCAAGCAATCTTAAATTGTTCGGAAAGTGCCTTGGGCCGGTTGAAAAGAATGCATTTCGCACGATAAGAACCCTAAGATTGTTCATCTTCTCAAAGGCAAAGCCACTCCACTCAACTTCTTGTTGAGGAGATTTAAGCATTATTCCTTCAATTTTGCTGCTTCCCTTCAACGCAAGTGCACAGTAGTAATAGTTAGATATTGCCAAATAATTAAACGATGTAGATGCATTTATAGTGAATGTGAAACAGAAATAATTTAGTTCTTACTGAATTTTCATGTAGTACTTTGATAACATCTTCATGATGCCATAACCTGCTGCGTTCACCAGGATTTAATGGTGCTTCTTGCCTGACAATTTCTCGACCCATTTCTTGTATTAGATCATGCAACCACAAGCACTCATATTCATCAATGCTCACTAATGATTTTTCAATGAGCACTTCGATATAAAACCTTGCACCACCTTGACAAGCTTGTAGTATTTCATTGGCATATACCAACCTCCACTTCTTGAAGAAACAAGCAACATCTAGAAAAATAGACTTGGCATTGTCTTGTAGGCAATCATAACTTATTTTTAGTACCTCGTGAATTGTTCTATCCTGGATCTTCTCATACTGTTCCAATATTGACCTCCATTCCTCTAAGCTCTTGTGAGCCAAATTGGAGCCTATTACTCTTAGAGCCAAAGGAAGGCCCTGTGCATAACTTATCACACGATTAGAGATATCTTCATAACCTTTGGGAGGTTGCTGAATATGAAAGGCATGCCAAGAAAAGAGTTCAAGAGACTCATTCCCATTTAGCTCCTTCATTGCATAGGTTTTTTGAACATGATGTGCAATTAGTAACTGCATATTTCTGGTTGTTATAATGATTTTGCTTCCGGATCCAAACCAATTACACCCTCCTGCAAGTTGTTCTAATTGTTCTACCTCATCAACATCATCAAGAACTAATAGAACTCTTTTGTGGGAGAGTCTGTGTTTTATCTTTGATATTCCTTCATCAACACTACCAAACTTCTTACTCTTCTCTTCAAGAATCTCTGATAAAAGTAATTGTTGGAGACGAACTAAGCCTTGGTATTCCTTTGAAGCTTCTCTGACATCAAATAGGAAACATGAACCTTCAAAGTGGTAAAATATTGAATTATATAGAGCCTTGGCAAGTGTTGTTTTGCCAATTCCACCAGTTCCATGGATGCCCAACATACAAACTCCATTATCAGACTGATCCAAAAGTGACTTCACTTCTTCAATGCGAGAATCAAGTCCAACTGTGTGGTCAATACTATGTAAGGGTTTGGGTGGCAGCATAGCATATGTATCTTCTGCTATCCTTTCTATAAACCCAAGTTTACATCTATAGAAATTCAAATATGTTTTGTTAGTATCTTTTGGTAAAATATTTGTCACATATTATTTAACTAAATCAAGAAGAATGAAATTAGAGCAGAACAAAACTTCAGTATTTTTTTCCCAACAACTTATAAGTATTGAAATTGTAAACGTTGTAATAGAAAAGATAATTGAAGCCTAATGATTCTACTAAAAGACTTCTAAGCATTTATAACAACGTGAAATTTGAACTAAAGAATTTGACTGATCATCACAAAACTTGTGCATCGGTTAGTTAATTAACATTTATCCAACGCTACTTCTTATGGACAAGTCACATTAGCTGACGAAGGAATAAAAACTTCACTGATAGCAATAATATCAACTACTAATTAAAATATGATTCCATGATTCCATCAGTAAAAAAGAATTAAAAAAAATTGCAGTTCAGAACTCTATATTCAAAAAAAAAAAAAAAAAACTTACAGGCAGACATCAAATAATTTGAACAGCATAAAAAATTCATATGTTAAGATTAAGATGAAAAAAATTATTTTCCCTTCACTAAAAGAATTGATTTATCATCACTTCATAAATATTTTAAAATTGTGATCATATTTATTTTCCCAGAAAAAAAAAATTATACCTACACACCTACCCATCTTGAAAAAGCCATGCCGATGACAGACTAGCAGCTTCAGACAAAGCAAACCTCCATTTGCTCACTTTATCCATGTCATGCCTGAACCTATCTTCAAGAGCAGCCATGGCTTCCCCAAAGCTATTCCTCTGATACTGAACATCCAACGGATCCACCTTGTAGAAGATAGGCATAACCATCTGGTTCTTCTCCTTCTTACATCGAATGACGTGCGCCAGTTCATCCAAACACCAAGTGGAAGTGGCGTAGTTTCTAGAGAAGACAATAATTGAAATCCTGGATCTATCAATGGCCTTAAGAAGTGAAGGTGAGATTCGTTTCCCTTTGCCAAGCTTCTTGTCATCAATGAAGGTGTTGATTCCCCTCCTGTGCAAGGCATCATATAGAAGCACAGTGAAGGATTGACGAGTATCTTCGCCTCTGAAACTCAAGAAAACATCATATCTGTACTTAGTTTTAGATGGGAAGCTAGAGGACGATGGTGTTGACCCTTTGATCTCCATGGCTACGATGATCACGAGCTCTTGAAATTTGAATACTCAACTTCATTTGGACTTTGTATTGAAGTTTTACTTTCATTTTTTTTTAGAAAAGAAAAAGATGTTTGGCTGTATATATGTGTTTTTTTTAATTGCAAACTGTTGTCAGAATAATATTATTCTTTACATGCATCATTCATGGTATACGTTACGTCGTTGCCACCATAGGAACAGGATTTTATTTATTTATTTAATTTGTGAACAAGCTTAGATGGACTGCCAAGAGGCATATTCTCATGACTTGGAATATTTATAAAGGTACTTACATAATGATAGCAATTTTTATTATTTACTATGTAGGATAAATTTGAGAAAAAGAAGAGATGAAGAATATGATACTAAATGCAGTGGCTTTAAAAATATAAACTCCAAAGTTCAAATACTTGTTGGGACAGATATTTATATTTAATGCTCAACTGTGCATCAAATAGGATTGCATTCAATAAAAAAATACATATAAACAATAAAAAATGTAGAGATATTTTATTGGTACACCTATCAATTGCCAATATTTTTGGCCAAGAATTGAATATTTATGTTAATGATATCAAATTATATCAAAGTAAAAAATTCATATTATAAATTTCAATAGCTTAATTAATACAAAACAAATGTAAATTATTTTAGAAAAACATATTAACAATAACGTCTTAACTTTTAAATAAGTGATTTTATGACAAATATCAAGTACATACTACTTATTATATTTTAAAATTTTTATTCAAACGTAAAATATATTCTATGATAGTTATATCTTTAAGAATTTAAATATTTGTACTATACATGTATAAAAATTTTATTATGTGTCAATTTAAGGAAAATAAAATAAATAACCTGTACATTTTTACTAAGAAAAATTTAAAAAAATTAGAGAGGTCGGCATTTTCCAGTCTCCCATGCATGTCTCCACCTTACAAGTGGTTGATGACACACTATATGTTGTCCTTTCCTTTATTTTTTCCCCCTACATACCTAATTAATGCTAATAGAAAATTAAAAATATGTTGCACATTGTCGTGTATTTGATCGCATCTATATATTATCCCAGAATTAATTAGTGCGGTGATGAAACAAGAAAATTGGGCTTCCTTGATTCCAAGCCCATTTTCATCTTCAACTTGGTGTTTCAATCCTTCGCATTAAATCTTGAACTCGGATCTTCTACCAAGTTAATACATCAAAGTCATGCTTAGATTGATTTGGGCTTCTTTTCTTAATATGATGTGGCTTTAGATGACTTGACTTGAGAATGGATGACTTGTCCAAGTAAGCTAAGTTTCGCTTGCCATGTAGGATGCCAATTGGGTTAGCATGCATGATGGTATACTTAAACAGCCATGTTAACTTATCTAAGTGTGAGTAAACTTAAATCGATATAAAAAATTTCATATTGAATAAAGTTAGGTTTCATATGAAACTAATATAAAATAAAAAAAATAAAATATAAATTTAAGCTTTGATGTTTTAAGTAATAATAAAAAAATTACACTGAACTGAATAGTTGAACCATTGATCGGTTTGGATTTCGACACGGTCAACATGAAAAAACTGTTTGGAGGGTGGGCTGCTTTGGACTAGTGGTCAGATAGAAAACCAGGATTAAGCTGGAAACTGAATTTGATTTTCAAAAATTGAATTGTTAAAAAATATATCATTTTTCTTTTTTTTTCTTTTTTATCAATTTTTGTTGGTTACAAAATGATCAATTTTTTTAATCATTTAATGTTATATATATTGCATCACATGACTTGTTAAGTCATCATAAACTTAAAATATTTAATTTTATTTTTTAAATTAAGTAGCAATTTTATATTTATTTCTTATATTTAGATTATTATGTACATATATATTTTTTTAATTTAATTATTACATCACCAGTTCAACCATGTGAACCATAAACTGCTAGCCTTTTCAATTCAATATTCGAATCAATTTTGAAAATATTGATTTTAAGTTAAGATATAATGTCCTTCAAACTATTCTTGTCTTTTTCTTTTTTCTCCTCATTTTTTTAGGCAGTTTCATTTTTATTCAATATTTTTATGAGGAGGTCATTTGGTTTCCTTAAAAGAGAAAACTCAGCACTTTACTTCATTGAACATATGATGCTTTTAAAATTAATAACTGTAATATATTATATTAACAATTTATCTTTAAAAAATATGGAGTAAAGTGTTAATAATTTTCTTAAACAAAGAGCTAGTGATTGAAGTTCTCCTATTTTTAAATAATAGAAGTGTTCGGTCATAGAGTATTTCCTAATTCCTATTTAACACTCTAACCCATGTTGCTTCATTTTCAATATGGGTAAAGGTGCATTTTTGCCCCTAATGTTTCCAGTGTCCTAACATATTTCGTATAGCATTTTCACCTCTTAAGTAATTAATTTGGTGCACATGTTACCCTGACATTAAATCCACACTAACTCCATTAAAAATTTCTTGTGGGCCCCATTTTATGTGATAGGTTATCATCTCCCTCTGATAACGATTCTTCCATTGACGCCCAATCTTTAGCATTATCATCTCCCTCCAACTCTAGAAGCATTGATACAACACCATCATCACCTGCTCTCCTCTTTTCCTCATTGTCGCTTTACCACTTCAAATGAAGCTTAAAGCTCACACCTTTGCTGCATCTGCCATTATCGTCCTTGAAGCTTAACGTCTTCACCTCCCTCTCTCTTCATAATTGTCGACCTCGAAGCTCATCCTCTCCATTGTCGGCGAAGATCTACCTCTTCCTTAGCCTCCCACAGTGATTTTGCTGACCAAAACACCCATAGTGATTTTTCAAATTTCCAAGACCCCTTGTTCAAGCTTCTTTGACATTCTTCCCTAACCATGGAGTGACTATGATGAATTGAGTGAGCTGTGTTGTGAACATTTAGGGTAAGGATGGTAAGGAAGACGAGTTGTGTGGTAAGCATTTAGAGTCACAATAGTGGCAATCGCAGATGTTCGAAGGTCATAGCAACTCACTGTTCTCTCTATCGACAACAAAAGCCACTCCCAATTGTTGATGTCGATGCCTTTTTAGTGTCGATCACGACCTTATTAGTTATCTTATAGATAATAGCTTTCAAAGTGAACAGTGTGACCCTTAACCCGTCTCTGTTTTTAAGGATAAAAACATGGGAGCACAAAGACGTCAATGCTGTAGATCCTTGACTCATCTCTTTCTCGATCCTTCTTAATGATGTTGCCTTCACGCAGTAGCTCCTCCTCTTTCACTTCCACTCTCTAACTATATGAGACTGAAAACCACCTTCTGTTATAGCATACATAAGCAATGCATGCATGCATGAAGGTGGAAAAAGTAAGGAGGAGAGAGAGAGGAGAGAAGGCTGGAAAAAGAGGAGATAGGTCCTTGAATCCACTTGGCCCTTAGGTCCAGCACCTTCTCGCTGTAACTACACCTTTCAATTACCCCTTTCATCCACCATCACTACCCAACCACCTTGGCATTGTCCTCTCTTTTGTTGTTCTCTTCTTTTTCTTCATTAATCTCCTCCTCCACGTTGTCTATGCTATTTGTGACGCTGTAATCTTCATCATCATTTGTTGTGTGGTGGTTATGGAGGAGGGGAGAGAGAAACAAAATTAATTTTAGGAGGAAATTTTTTGACCAGTTGATTGTACAATATAGAGAGAAAGGGAGAGTTTAGTCTAACCCAGCATTTTTGGTCAAAATGCAATCCAATTTAGCAATTCTAATGGTCAACGTGTGAGGAATTAACGTCAGGATAGTTGATGGTTTGAATTAATTGCTTAAGGGGTGAAAATGCTGTGCGAAATACGTTAGGTACTGAGTGCTTCTCGAAGAAAACAATAGGGAAAAAAAATACACTTTTACCCTTTCAATAACCATACACCAAAGTCCATTTCTCAATGAGAATATTAGAGTTGGACCATAGTATCGGATGTAAATCTTTATATACTAGTATTTTTTAGACCTAGATTCATCAGTTGAAAATTTCAGTCTCTTGCCTTCGCAACAAACCAAGATCCTCCGTCGGGAAAAATTAATAATAACATCTATGCAATGTAAAACTCTAATTTATCAACAAATAAACGAAATAGAAGAAGATACATCCACTATTATATTCCTCTGCTGAAGATTCAATACCAATTGATGCATGTGCAACAGGAGACCAAAACAAAGTGCACATCTCTTTTGGCTTTTGTATTTCTAGTGTCGTGGCCAGACGAATTCTCCATATCCCTCCTAAAAACAAGATAGATAAAGTAAGTAATCAAAACAAGGTAAAAACAAGATAAATTATATCACCATCATATAAGTATTTTAATTCTCTCATGCACCTTCATTTACGATCAATTCTATAATTTGGATACAAATTATTATACACTCCCTATTTCATCATGAACCTGGAGAGTCAGTACCATGGATGTTCCACCCATTCCATAATCTGTTTTCCATTTTTTGAGTATAATACAAAAGCTAAAGATGAAAACATAGGGCCTGTTTGGATATAACTGCCAAAAGCACATTTAAATTATATTTAAAATATACTTTTATTAAATTTTAACAAATAATTGAATCTTTTAAATGTATTTTTGTCAAATGTAAACTAAAAATCAAACACACATGTACAAGTTAGAAAGAGAAATAAGATTGTGGTTATTAGGAAAGGAAACTTCCACTGCTTTCAACATTACACTAGGTAAAACTTCTTTCTTTAAAAGTGATTTTGCGTTCCAATAAATCAGAGTGTCAGCATTAAAAAAGGTCTCAAAACAATACTTTTCTTTCTTTATGCCTAATAGATCACAACCACTATGTAAGCAAGTTCTAAAAAATCAAGTCATATACAAATATGTCATGTTACACACAATGGAAATCTAAATATAGTTACATGTCCAAATGTCATCCTTTTATTCAAGAACTCGGTATCAAACTTTTGAACGCACCAGAGAAGTAATGCCTACCCCTTAATATTTTCGTATCCTGAAGGCAGCCCACATGATCTTTATCCACTGTAGTTATGTATTTATGTGCTTTTAAAAAAGGAAATTCTGGTTCCTGGAAAAATCAAAAAGCACAATAAGAGAGAAGAGAGAAAAGCCCAGAAAATGCTGCATTTGCTATAATGAAAAACAAATAGAGAATGAATGACAACTTACTCATAAGGAGCGAAGCTAAGAGTGAATGAGAAACTCATGAAAATGGTGCATTTACTATATATGTATTTGGTTTTCAATTTACATTTAATAAAAGTACATTTGGAAGATCCAACTCTTTGTTAAATTTGACAAAAATACATTTCAAATATGATTTGAATATGCTTTCGAGTGTTATCCAAACAGGCTCATTAAAGACTGCCAAAGATGAAGAGAAGCTCGAAGAAATGAAAACGTTGGATAGAGGAGACAAAGAAGCAGAGGGAAACGAAGTAAAGCCACAAGAAGACTGATGACCTGGCGTGAGAGTGGAGACGTGGGGATTTAAAATAAAATCCTTGGCGTCTGGTCCGGTCCTATATTGGACGCCATAAATGAAATCCTTTTCTCATATATTTGAATTCCGAATAGATACACACACTCTTTATTATATGATCGAAATTGTTATAAATCACCGGGATATATCAATAAGTTTTTCTTAAAATTTATTATATGATTGATAGTATGAAACTTAATTTTTAGCAAATATTTAGGGTGCTTTGAAATTTTTGAAAATCACAAGGACAAATCAAAAATTTTAAACATTGGTTCTATTTTTTAATTTTTAAATAGATAGGTATTAATTTGAATTTAAATATAATCACATTTGAATTTCAAATAGGTAAAATTTTTAATTTTTTAATACGTATAAAAAATGATAAATTATGCTGAACTTAACTCCAAACTTAAATACTCTATTTTATATACATATAAAAAATAATAAGTCATCTTGAATTTAATTTTAAACCTAAATCTGGACCATAAAATTATGAAAAAGACATTTTAAAATATAAAATTTCAACAAACCTATGAAAACAGGTACGCGATATTCATACATAGATTTTTATCCTCTATATATATATATATATAATGATATGATGATGACGACTTTGACTAAATTCTTTAATTAAACTTTGGATATTATTCATGGCTAAACAATAAATACCAGGCGTATCATAAATATTGAGTTTCAATAAATAACGAAAGGGTCTCAAGCTCCCTTACTACAATTCACTCGAATGTAAAAAAGATATAAGATTTTGATAGAACAAGTGTATGATTTTTATTGAAATGTGAATAGATTACAAACTAAAAGCTGAAAACTAAAAAGGGCTAATGAATATAAAATTTGTGAGTCTTTGATGGAGTGTTGACTAGTTTTTTTTGTATTTTCTTCTTCTATTTATAGTGTCAGAATAGCAATAGCCTTTTTCTTGAAGCTTAGCACGTTTTGTCGAAGAATCAGGGGTCTCGCAAAACTTATGGCATGGCCTCTTCATTTTGATAATCAGCTCGTTTCATCAAAATATTTTGGTGTAGATTTCAGCATTATTTAAGATTGTGTCTTCGTGTTAATGGTATAATATTTGCAGCTGATGAGATTTCGGCATGTTTACTTATTATAGCCTTCATTGAGCCTCAGGGCTGACCCCTTTCATTTATATTGGGCTTGATGGTTCAATTACCCATCTTAACTAACTCTATAACCTATTTGAGCAATGTTTTACATTTAGCTCAAACAGATATAAACAACTTTTTTCTCAAATATTGACATGTAATAATTCAAATATTAACAAGGTGTTATTTGATTGGGGTTTTAATAGAAAATATTTCGTATAATATTGAAAAATTATTGTTCAAATTTCAACAATTTTAATATATAAAATATTGACAACAACTCATCTAAAATTAACAATTTTTATGAAAGATTCATGGGCTTTGTTGATTATATAGGATGCAACATGATACGATGGCATGACCCATGATCTGTAGTAGCATTTGGTATTGCAATTGATGTTGAAATTAGTGTTTTAAAAATTAGATCAGACAATGAACCAAAAATATTAGTGGGTCACAGGTCTTATTGTTTAACCAGTTAGACCGGTGATTGAATTAATAATATAATAATTAAATAAAAATAATATTTATATACATATATATTGAAAAACGGGTTAAAATGGTTCAACTACTCTAAGTTTTGAGTTTTTGCTCTGGGTCTTCAAAAACCACCCAGGTCAAAGAAGGCCAACCCAGGCCAGCTGCCAAAATGGACCAAATGGTTGAACCAAACCGTTTTCTTCTTCAAATTTTGGTTCGAACAGTTCAATCATTCAGGTTGGCTCAGGTTTTAAAACATTGACTGAAGTAAGCTGCAATAAGTTAACATGATAAGTTTAAATCTTAAAAAGGTGAATGACATGCTTTAATTTATAAATAAGATTAAAAAATTTATTTTTTTCTCTAGTCTTATTTATAAGATACCTTTTATAAATTTTTTTATTCAAAATGTAAAACACCTTGTAATAATCAAACTATTTTTTAATAGTGTAAATGTATGTAATATAGTTTTATTATTATTTAAAGCTAATAATAAAAATTAATTAACTTTTATAATATTAAAAAAATAGATTTTATTAAAATTTGTGAAACCGTTGAAAATGTTCTGCAATAATGATATGAAGGAGTATTCTAAACTTATAAGATTAAATAAAATAATTTTCAAAAAAAAAGATTAAAGAAAAGTATTTCATCTGAATCATAATATAAGTCATAGTTAATCAATTCATAGTTTATGAATAATATTAGTTGAAATTTTAAATTTTAAAAAATATTCACATCTTTTTATTTATACTCTTATTAAATACTTTAAATAAGAACTTTTAATTTAAAATTCTAGTGTATATTTTTTTTCAAAACAAATGATAAATAAAATAAGGATACAGTTGAAAAAAGAAAAAATTTCAACGAGGGACCTTTGAATGGAAATAATGAAAAAGATAATCCAAAATTTTTGAAATTTTACTGCAAGTATTGAATTACAACTAAATTTGAGACAAAAATAATAAAACTATTCTCATTTAAACGAATAACATATTATCAATAAGGCGACTAATTCTTTACCATATTATATATTGTTTATTTATTTATAGAATATTATTTATTTTTTTATTTCACTTGTTTATAGTCCTACTTTAACTTAATTTCATTTCAAAGGCTATAAACAAGTGAAGTACAAAAACAAACAATATTCTGTAAGTAAATGAATAACATACAATATGATAACGAATAAGTCATCTTATTATAAAACTAACAATTGGAATGAAATTAAATGAAACTAGGATTATAAACAAGTGATGTTAGGTATTTAATAATATTTTATAAATAAATAAACAACACATAGTATGAAAATGAATAAGTTCTCTTGTATATGGTATATTGTTTATTTAAATAAGGATAATTTTATTATTTTTATCACAAATTTAATTTTAATTTAGTACGCAATCTCTCCAATGAAATTTCAGAAATTATAAAGTTCTCTTTCTTTATATCTTTAATTAAGGGTCCTTCACTAAAAATTTTCCTTAAAAAATAAATATAAAAATTATTTAATATTTTATATTTCAGATGCGGTGATATCTGTTGAAAATGTTCTCAGTAATAAATAACAGGGCAAGGGGCAAAAAAATTTAAAAATATAATGCTCTTTTTCTCCGAAAAAAGAATTGTGTACACCTTACGTGGCAGCACCCTAGCCACCGTGCTCCCTCCCAATGCCACCTTCGAAAGGACTTCCAAACTGATGGATTCACTGTTCTCTCTCCTCCGTTATCGTCCTCCTCCTTCCTCCTCCAATTTCATATCGATTTTAACTTCTTCGAAGAACGGAATTGCAGAGGAATGGAAGATTAATGGCGGTGGAAGTATGAAGCAGACGACGGAACCTGACAGCGAGCTCGGAAACGATGTAATAATCCTATCATCTCTACTAACTCAAATTTGAGCATTGATCGTCTGAAATAGCGAGAGAGCTTTTGCTTAAGGGATTTTGAATCACTCTGCCGCAGCAATCCATCTCTTTTTTGCTTCCTGATCCCACCCCCGATTAATTATCGTTATTAATGTATTCTGTCTTTTATAAAGATTGAAGAAAATAACAATAATTGACCCAAGATGCTGCCTCCACTTTAAGGGGGCAAAAAAATTTAGAAGTCAAGTCAATGTGAAACTTTCCGCAATTAACCTTCCGAGAAATGTCCTACAGGAGGATCAAATGCGTGCTATGCTTGTTAGTTTTTTTGCCGATCTCTCTGTCTAGAGGATTCAAATCGCAATACCTTGATACCATTTAGTGATTATTGCAGCTGTGGCGATTCAAACGGCAGCTCCACCATCCTTTGGTTTCAACGGAAAATCCAAATATAGATATGATGTTTTCCTGAGTTTCAGAGGCGAAGATACTCGCCACTCTTTCACTGTTCGTCTCTATGATGCTCTGCGCCGGAAGGGAATCAACGCCTTCATCGACGACAAGAAGCTCGGGAAGTGGAACAGATCGCACCTGCTCTTCTTAAAGCCATTGAGAAATCAATGATTTCGATTATTGTCTTCTCTGCGAACTACGCTACGTCGTCATGGTGCTGGATGAGCTTGCCCACATCATATGGTGTAAGGAGGAGAAGAACCAGCTGGTGACGCCCATCTTCTACAAGGTGTATGCCATGGATGTTCAGTTTCAGAGAAATAGCTTTGGAGAAGCCATGGCTGCTCATGAAGCTGGTAGGTTCAGAGATGGCTTAGAGAAAGTGCGTAAGTGGAGGTCTGCATTATTTGAAGCTGCTAGTCTGTCATCAGCGTGGCTTTTCGAAGATGGGTATGTTTCCTCATAGTTTTTTTATTTTTTTTTATTTTTTATTGTCTTAGACTGGAAATTTTCAAATACTTAATTGGTGGTCGCTGGTGATGTAACACGCGGAGTTAAACTTGGGTCTTGCATGCACATTTTTTTATCCCCTGAGTCTATACAGTCTTGGAGCCTTTTAAAATAATTGCAGTCTAAAAAGTTTTTACCATAAATATTATTATTTTAATTTTTAACTGTAAATGTTTATCAATTTTTATTAATGAAATTATAAAACAATATTCTATTTAGTAATTGCTGATACATATCATCGTTGGATCTGTGAAATGTTGGAGATATAATCCTTCCTGAGCCAATGTGACATTGCTTTTCAGAAATCGTGTGGTGTTAAACGGAGTATCTATTGTTATCGAGAGTAATATTCTACTTTGAAATATACAAAACTAATTTGGACATTCATGTATGAGTAATAGAGTCCATTAGCTGATTGATATTTAAGTTAGGATATCACTGAAAAATTCAATGAGATTTTACTTCAAAGAATTATAATAATAAGAAACAAAAAGAAGACATTTTGCTTCAATTTTCTTCTCAATAGAAAAGAGAATTTTTTTTTTTTTTTGCAGGCATGAATTTGGGTTTATTGAAAGGATTGTTGAAGATGTATATGCTATGCTTCCTCCTAAACCGTTCCATAGCATAGAACACAGCATACTCCATGATCTCATAGGAAGATGCTCAACTATCCATATCTTCTTCCTCTCTTTAGTCATCTTACCAATTAGCTACTATGACCACCAGAGGCTGTGGGCATTATATAAGGGGGCATGGTTGAGCTAATCCATATGATGAATGTTCTTACTGTCATAGAAAAGGCCACACAAGAAACAACTGCTTCCATATTATCGAGTTCCTATCCAATTTTCAAGGAGGAAGGGGTTGAGGCAATCAATCCAATTGAGCAAATCATATAGAAAATCCCAGTCCTCGCACTATATCCAAGCCATAACATGAGACCTCATCCGATCGTCAATTGCTGTCACTAGCCGACTATAAGAGAATCATTGATAATCTCAAAAAAGAAGTTCAAACCCTTTCAAATAAGACTCTTCCAATAGGTGGAGTAGCCATTGAAGACTCGGGAGAGTGTTCAGGTTTGAATTTATGCTTTTTTTCTACATCTTCTATAGTTGACACATGAGCACATTGGTTGTTAGATTTAGGGACATCATGTCACGTTGTGAGCAAATTATCATTTTTTGGATAATTATTAGGAATACTGTGGCTCTTTTCTTAAAATTAAAATTCCTAATGCTGGCAAACTAACCATTACTCATATTGGTAGTGTTAGGATTTTAGATGATATTGTCTTAAATAATGTCCTATATGCACCTAGAATATGCTATGATTTAATATCCATTTCCCGACTAATCAAAAATCAACAATGCGTAGTTTCTTTTTTTCTTGACACTTGTGTATTAGAAGATCTCTCCACTGGCAAAACCAAGATGATCGATAGCATAGAATCAGGTCTCTACCTAATAGATGAAAGCCTCCCCTATCAATTAATATTCATGCTAGTAATTCTGTTCTTGATGATAATATTTGGAATTTGAGATTAGGACACCCATCTGACTCTATCCTTAAACATGTAGTTTCATTACATAACAATTTGTCTTCTTTAAATTCTTCCAGTTATGACACTTGCTTTAAAGCTAAATAGACTCGATTGTCTTTTCCTTCTAGTCAAATAAAAATAGATTCATGCTTTGACTTACTTCATGTTGATGTTTGGGGGCCATATAAAGACCCTACTTATCATGTTTATAAGTTCTTCCTTACTATCATTGATGATTTTTCCTGTGTAACTTGGATTTATATGATGCATAATAAATTTAAGACTTTTTGCCATTTAAAATAGTTCTTTTCCCTTGTAACAAATTAGTTTGGTGTTAAGATTAAGTGTGTTCGTAGTGATAACGAAATTGAATTTATGAACCATGATATTTTGTCTACTTTCTTGAAAATGGTGTTATTCATGAAATCACATGTGTTCAAACCCCATAACAAAATGGAGTTGTGGAAAGAAAACATAGACATATATTCAAGGTTTCTAGAAGTTTAATTTTCTAGGCCAATTTACTAATCAAATTTTGGGGGAAAGCTGTCGGGACCACAATCTATTTGATTAATAGAATTCCCTCAAAAGTTTTGCATTATAAATCTCCATATGAAGTTTTATGCAAGAGATCCCCAAACTTATCTAACCTGAAAGTGTTTGGGTGTTTAGCTTATGCTAAAATCCAAGGAAGATTAGATAAGTTTCAAACCAAGTCTGTCGAATGTGGGTATCTAAATACTCAAAAGGGGTATATTCTTTATGATTATAAAAATGATACTATTCTTGTTAATAGAGATGTTATTTTTCTTGAGAAACAATTTCCATTTTCATATCAACTCTCTACTGTTAATAAGCAAGATCATGCACGTACTCACGACCCATTTATATTTGATGACATATTTGGACCTACAATTTATCCTGACCCCCATTTGAACATTGGTAATGAACTTGTTAATGAATCAAATGAAAATCATGATGCTCCTAACAATGAAGTTAATTTAAATAATAATAGAAACACTGCCTTAGATAACAGCAGACTTGTTAGACATAGAAATGCTCCTAGTTGGCTTAGAGATTATTACTGCTCTAATATGGATTTTCTAAATAAAACAGATAGAAAAGGAAATAAGAAAATTTTATACCCTATGTAACACAGTATCGCACATTTCTAAATCATATAAATAATTTATAGCCTTAACAGATGATATTAGTGAGCCTGATACATTTGAAGAAGTTATAAAAGATAATTGGTAGATTAAAGTTATGCAAGATGAAATCACTGCTTTAGAAAGAAATCAAACATGGGAAATAGTGGATTTACCTCCAAGTAAGAAAACTATAGAATGCAAATAGATTTTCGAAAAGAATTTTAATACTGATGGGACCCTAAATAAATTAAAAGCCAGATTAGTTGCTAAAGGATTCAGTTAAATAGAGGGTATAGATTACTCAGAAACATTTTCTCCTGTTGTGAAAATGACTATTGTTCATTCTGTTTTAACCATTGCTGCCCATAATAATTGGAATCTTGTTCAAATGGATGTTGATAATGCTTTCCATCAAGGGGATTTAGATGAAGAGGTATATATGAAAATTCCTCTAGGATTTAGCAAACAAGGGGAGAAAAGGGTATGCAAGCTAACTAAATCCTTATATGGTTTAAAACAAGCAGCTAGGCAATGAAATGTTAAGTTGTGTGAGGCCTTAATTGCTGGTGGTTTTGTTCAAAGCATGTATGATTATTCCTTGTTCACCGAACAAGACAAAAATGATTTTATAATTGTTCTGGCTTATATGGATGATCTTGTGATAACTAGAAATAGTGTAGAAGGGATAAAGAAAACTAAAGACTTCCTTCATACAAATTTTAAAATTAAAGATTTGGGTTCACTAAAATATTTTCTTGGCATGAGGTTGTTAAATCAAATAAAGGGTTAATATTAAATCAACAAAAATATACCTTAGATTTAATAGCATCTACTAGTTTGGGAGCTTCAAAACCAAGGAATGTTCCTTTAAATCCTGATCTAAGGCTTTATAGTGAACCTAAAAGGGGGAAAAAGATGACTCTTAAAGGATTGTACCAGATACAGGCGTTTGATAGGGAAAATATTATATTTGACTACCACTAGAGTAGATATAAGCTATGTCGTCCAGTTACTAAGCCAGTTCATGAGTAGCCTTAGAAAGTCACATTTGAAGGATGCCTTGAATGTTGTGAAGTATCTAAAAAAAGATCCTGGTAGGGGCCTCTTATTTCCTTCTTTGGGAATCATGAAATTAAAAGGGTTTTATGATTTAGAATGGGCTTTATGTCTAAAATCACGCAAATTTGTTACAGGGTACTTGGTTAAGTTAGCTGGAGCCATTATTTCCTGGAAATCAAAGAAATAAACTACAGTTTCTAGGTCATCTATTGAAGTAGAATATAGAACACTGGGAAGTATCTAAAATTAGTTGACTTAATAGATTGCTTAAGGATTTGCATATTTTTTATTTAACTCCTATTTGTGTTTACGATAACAATAGAACTACGATTTAGATTGCTTTTAACCTAATTTATCATGAAAGAACGAAACACATCGAGATCGATTTTCACTTTGTGAGGACGAACTTCAAAATGGCTTGATCAGTTTGAGGCATATTGTGTTTGAAGAGCAACAAGCGGATGTTTTAACCAAAGCACTTAGTAGGAAAATGCATGAACGCATGTTGAGCAAGTTGGGCACCTTTAATATTTTTAGGACCAACTTGAGGGGGAGTATTGAGAGTTAAAATATACTTTAGGCTATCATTGTTATTTTGGGCTAAGCCCAGTCAGTAACAATCATACTCATTTTTTATTTCTTATTCCTACTTGTATATTTAAGGCTGGTTTTATGTTGTATTCGGTAGACTCTATAGCTAAGGATGGCACCCAAAATAAATAGAAGTTTTGCATTGTCTTTATGTAATTCTCAACATTAATATAAATGATTAAATTATCCTTAATTCAAATATCAATTGTTATTCATAATTTTTGTTATAAGAATCACAATTTTTATTCTTAAAATTGAAAGAATTCAATAGCAATTCATAAGTTTGCATTTGAAATCCTGATATTTTTCAAGTGTTACAAATATTAATTATCATTCACAAGTTTTATTTTAAAATTCACAACTTTTCTTTTTAAAATCACAATAATTAAACAACAATTTGTAAGTTTGAATTAAGAACAATTTGATTATTTATATTAATTCGTTAATGACATAAAAATTTTCAAGGGCTTCATGAAAATTATGGCATTTTGATGAACTAAAATGTTATTTACATAATTCAAATGGATTTTGTCATCATTTTTCTTAAGTCTAAAAAAATTGGTAATAAAAATTTAATTTCATAACTTATAAATTAAATTAAAAAATATATCTAGTTTCTCCATCCTTTAGAATCGGAGGAGTAGCTGCTGCCTAAATGCCTTCGAAAATTTTTGCTGGATCCTTGTATTTCTTTTGTTGGATTTTGTAATCATTTAGGTAGATAGAAGTTGAAAAATCCTGTCAAGCAATTTAATTGAAGGTCATTGAACCTTGTCTCTCACGCAATTTAATTGGTAAGATAATTGAGACTTCTCTTAGGATTAAGAGAGTTTGCCAGAAAAAGGAAATTAACATGAGTAATTGGGAAGCTAAGCTCCTCAAAATAGAGCAAATCCTACAAGCGACGCTTGATGCTCATTTTGCCTTCACTATTGGAAAAAAGATCTTGCTGGGGAGATTTTCACAATTTAAAGCTATCAAAAAGTCTTCATCTTTCATCCACACAGCATTTCCAAAAGAGCATTCTAAAGCTTGTTGGGTTAAGAAATCGAAGGAACACTCTTCTCAAGGAAATGATCAACAAAATGATTTGCAGGATAGACAATCCAAAGATCGGTCATATTTTTTTGATGAATCTGCTTGTTCTAATTCACCAAATCTTGACTCTGTTTCTGAGGTTAAGATGAGGAAGAACAAGAGATTTGTAAACTTCTCTGGAAAACTGTCAGATGCAATTAAAGCAGAGCATCTTTTGCCCTCAAAAAGGCAAAGGGATGATTTTTCTTTTGCAGACCAGATTTTTGAGACAGGTTTATCAAGGAAAAAGTTTAAATTATAGAGTGATTAGAATTTTTCAGCTTTTGGGTATTGTTCCACACTTTATGTTTCTTCTTCTCCACTTCTTACATCACTCTTCTTTGGTAAGAAACGACAACTTGAAACAGCTTGCACTTTCGATCATGTGGTTAAGAAGTTGAAGCTGGTGCATTATTCTCCTTTGTTTTCCATAATTTTATCATGTCTCATCTTTCTGTCAAAAGGGCTCGGGAAGCTGCCTCCTTAAAGCTTCCCCGGGAGCCATGAAGTTATTAAGTTGGAACTGTCATGGCTTAAAAAAGGCTACGACAGTTCAGAGGCTGAAACTTTTAATCAACAAGTTTCAGTCGGATTTGGTGTGCTGACAGGAAACTAAGGTTCCTTTCTCTTTAGCTATCCGAAAGTT